GGCTGCAGGCAGGGTTTGGGGAGGGGGAGCACCAGGCACCCCCAGGCTGCAGGCAGGGTTTGGGGAGGGGGAGCACCAGGCACCCCCAGGCTGCAGGCAGGGTTTGGGGAGGGGCTGGGGTCAGGCTTACTTGTGCTCAAGACGTGAGTGGTGCAGTTGTCGGTGCTGGAGCTTGGCTGCCCGGTGTGAGGGAACAGCATGGGCTGAGGGCACAGAGGGGTCAGAGCCTACCCTGGCACCCGCAATCCCACAGCCATTCCCTGCACAGCCCCCCAAACCCACCTTGGTGTCCTCAGCCGCGTGGCCAGTGTCCTTGGGCCAACTCTCCAGCTCCACCAGGTCCCTCGGGTACAGCCGCGCCGGTGCCACCATTCTCTGCCAGGGCCGGGAGCCAGCTCAGGGTCCCCAGTGCCACCACTGGGCAGCAGCACCGTGCCCCTGCCCCCTGCCAAGGCACCCCACACGGTGGGGCAGTCCCAGCCAGGCACACATTGTCACCGCTGTCACCATCGGCCAGCTCTCACCTTGGCATAGCGCCAGCGCAGCTTCACCAGGGTGGCCACGGTGTAGTAGAGCAGGAGCAGGATGCCGGGGTTGGCATAGACAGGCCAGGGGTGGCTGTTGTTGAGGTCCAGGATGTTGGGCTGGGAGCAGTTGTAGTACAGGATGATGTCCTTGAAACCAAACAGCCTGTGGGGGACAGAGAGGGTGACATTAACCCCCACTCAGCCAGGAGCCAGGGTCCCATCCCTGTGCTGGCACCAGAGGGATGCTCTGGCTGCGCTCAGGGGGAGCCTGGGCACAGCTCCCTGCCCAGGGACTCACCGTGCCCAGAGCGTGGGGGGTGGGAAGAGCCCCTGCACGAAGGGGGTCTGGTAGGCGTAGAGGCACAGCAGGTGGCAGGCGCTGTAGATGCCGATGGCCACGCAGAGGACGTTGAAGGCCTGGTGGCCACCAGGGAGGTGACAGGCCCACCACGTGCACAGCCCCATGAAGAGCAGGAAGTAGACACTGGAGGAGGCGGAGGGCAGGATGATCCCTGGGGAGCAGCGCCCCACGGGCGGTCAGTGCACGGCTCCCTGGACTGAGAACATCCCGCTGCACCCAGCGTTCCTCCTCAGAGCAAGCCTCCCTTCCCCATGGACTGAGTCTTCCTCCTCAGAGCAAGCCTCCCTCCCCCTCAGACCGAGTTTTCCACCTTAGACCAAGCATCTCCTTCCTCTTGGTCCAAGCTTTCCCCCTTGGACTCTAAATCCATCCTCAGACCACACCTCACTCCTGCTTGGAATGAGCATCCTTGGGCTGAGCGTTCCCTCCCTCTGCAGCCCAAGCATCTCTTCTTCCACAGATCAAGCATTTGACCCTTGGAGCGGGCAGCTCTCCCCTTGGACTGAGATTTCTCCCTTGGATTGAACATTTTCCCCCCTTAGACCAAGCACCCCTTCTCCTTGCACCGTTTTCCCCTCTGGATGAACCATCCCTCCCTCTGCTCTCCGAGCTTTCCCCCTTGGATGGAAAATCCTCCCCTCACGGACCAGGCACGCTTTCCCTCAGCATGGCAAGCACCGAGCGTCCCCACTCTGGGCCAGCAGCGTGCCCCCCGTGCCCCCCGTGCCGTGCCCACCTGCCAAGGCCAGCAGCAGGATGGCCAGCCCCTTGCCAGCCTCCCAGAGCAGCCAGTGAGCCTTGTCCCGCAGCCGGCTCCTCAGCCTGCTGTCCCTGAGATCCGCGTGCCGGTGCCGCCCCACATCCTTCTCTTCCCTCTGCCAGGGGAAACCACGGCGCTGTGAGCTCCACGGGCAGCTCCTGGCCGTGCCTCAGTTTCCCCACTGCGGGGAGGGCAGGGGAGGCCGGCCAGGTGGGCAGAGTGCCCGGCACCTGGCCGTGTTTATCTCGTCAGCCGCCTGGAGAGCTCCTCCAAAGGGCGGCTGTTTTTCTTGGCTCTGGGACCCGGGTTCCCAGCACTGAGC